ACAGAGGAGCTTCAGAGGGACGGACTCCGTCCTCTGGGTCCTCAGCCTGGTTCATAGCAGAGTCCACACCTTCACACCTTCACAACCACCTGCTGGGAGAACTCACACATTATGATCTTCATCAGGACAAACACACAGAGCTCATTCACCTCAACACTAAAACTCTCATGAGACACTGTCCAGTAAGAGGACACACTGTGGTTACCATGGTAACACGGGGAAGCCTTGTCTTTACACTCTAAAAGTGACTAAATGTGTTTAAAGCAGATGAAGAAATGAACATGAAGCTTTGTGGACTTAAAGGACTGAAGCAGCAGGTGAGACAAACAGAGCGTCTCTCAGGTGTGTTTGAGGAGCAAAGGCCCAGGTGAGCTCTGTGGTCCCTGCTGGGTCCTAGTGCCCCTCCGTCTGCTACCTTCCCCTCCTCATCAGTAACAGTCCTCACAGACCCCAGATCAGACTGAGCTCCTCTTCTTCATCAGTCAGACCAACAGCAGCTCCTCTCTGCCTGCTCACACAGGCGCCATCTTGTTTCACAGCTTTAAACAATCACACGTTCACAACCATCAATGATCATTCAACCAATCACAGCTGCACTTACTGAGCTTGTAGACATGAAGTTCCTCAGTGAGCAGCTCTCTTCTGTCCTCAGCAGGTCCGTGTAGAAAAGGAGCTCCGTGCTTCACTTCAGCTTCCATCAGACGGAGTGAAGCGAAGCAGCTTCTTATCTTTTATCAGAGAAGGTGTTTCCTCACGTCACCATCAAAGTACAAAGTCTGACTGGGTGACTGAGTGTCAGTGTGAGCCGTGTTCACAAAGGTCAAAGGTCCTCGATTATTAGGGAACACGTGATGAAGCAGAAACCTTTGTAACAAATGTGGTGAAGAGTTTATGTTGAATAAAAACATCCACTAAGACAACAGAGTCAGAGTGTTTTTATTCTTCTCTCCACTTTGAGGATCTGGTTGAACCTGTTTGGGCGGAACAACTTACTCGTTTCAGTCTGAAGCTGCGTGTTAAATCATTTACCTTTATGACAAACTGCACAAAGTACACGTTGTTACATTCAGGATTCTACTGAGGCTTCGTGCTACTTCCTCAACCCCTCATACCTGCTGTGCAAAGGATTGTGGGTAAGAACAGGCAGTAAAGAAGCCTGCTTGCATACAGTAAAATGTGCCTGAATGTGACTAAGTGTTTTCATCTTAAAGTTCCTCCCTTTGTCCCATTTCGGTTATTGTTGTTAAATATATTTGCGTGTGGTGGGTTGCAGATATTTTAGGGGGCAGGTGCTCAAACCAAAACAAACGGGGGCCCTTTTGTTTTGGCAAATTACTCAAAATTTGAGAGCGCAAATCAGGTTGATGCGAGCGAGCAGGAAGGTGAACTTCGTCGCTCGCGAGGAGAATCTCTGCTCACGGCCGAAGGTGTTTTCTACGCGCTCGCTGTTCTTTCTGAATGAATCCTTCACACGCTCAGCGCACAGCGACGTGTCCTTGACGCCAGTCGGCTGGCGGTCGTTGTTGAACTTTGACCTCTGTGAGGTCATCCAGCGCACACAGCAATGGAGGACGTGTCGTGTGTTTGTCTCTGTCAGTGTGTGTGTGTGTGTGTGTCTCTGTGTGTCAGTGTGTGTCTGTGTGTGTGTGTACATGAGGGTATCATTGTAATCTTTCGGGGGGAGGTGCTGTTATCTCAATATTCACGGCAGTGAATAAATGGAATCATTGGCTGAGAACACGTCATGTCCGATACGATAGGTGGCGCTGTTTTCATTACAACTAGTTGTGATGCAGCCATTTCCGCTTGACCTCTTCACCACGACCAACAACAACAACAACAACAACATCAACGTCAGGAGAAAGACGCGAGCGAGAGCGAGGTGAAGCTACGTCCCTCGACTATGTGTGCGTGATGCTAACAGGAGCGCGGCGAATGCGAATGGCGCTATTGGCTGATTCGATAACGGAGAGAAGACGCCGTCGCCGAAGGTACATGGAGAATTTAATTCTGACCAACAATATATTGTTGAACTCTGCCATTGTACCGCAAAGGTCTGGAAGAGCTCTGGATGAAGAGCAGAAACAACGTCTTCTGTTTTCACCGTATCGGATGACGACGACTGGAAAGCGAACTTTCGCACGACTCGAGGATCTTTCCACAAGTTGTGTGGAATTATGGAAGGAGTCATGAAGCCCGCGGAGGTGACTGTTCGAGCACCGATGCCGCTGTCCTCCAAGGCGTAGTGCACGACGCGTATCGCTAAGTTTGGGCCAAATACGTTTAGTTGTCTGCGCTGTGCAACGTGAACGCTTACTGATCCGTTCAATTCACCGCGACCTCAGGCCTGCGTGTGCGTGTTTGTGTGTCCTGTGTCGCCTACGTATGTTCACGTGTGCGTTAGTGTGTCGTGTGCGCCATTAGAAGCTGACGACTTGTTCTCTTTCAGCTTGTGGAGCATCAGCTGTAAGATGCCTGGGTGAGCTCATGACGCTAACGTGCTCAGCCAGACACGCCTGTTAGCAGAAGTAAGTCGTACTCTGAAGACGTATTAATGTGTGGATCAAATCAATGAGATCAATAAATGAGTCGAGCCACTGAAAGTTATTCATGCAGAAACTAGTGGAGCTCCCACCAAGCTATTGAGATGTTACCAGCTTAAAGTAGAATGATGTTTTATAGAGGCTTTATTGTGCTTTTATGTATATATTGTTTTATTTATGCTGGGCCATTTAGTAAGCAGGTCCAACACTGGAAACCATTTCTGTTTCTCCTCCCAGGAACCGAGAGAAATCGCTCACTTCCTGTTGGGAAGCTGTGGATCCCAACTGGTCAGTGGAAGCGGCCACACTGGCATCGAACCTGCCACAGCCAGGTGGTCGTGCCAACAACCGTGGACAGAGGATCAGAGCCGCCCTCAGATTACCTGAGTGCAAACCTGCCCCGCGCAGACCTTTAGACGTCTTCAGGACACAACTGCCAGCTGGTCATAGGTTTGTAAACACAATTCTTGTACAGTTCATGTGTGTTTCATTCCACAAATAAAGAAACTCACAGAAGTTTTAGTTAAGTGTTTTATTTATACGAAATATTAAAAGTAAAACGAGGTATAAGAGCACACAAGTATAAAAGGTAAAACCTTGAATGTCACAGAAAACATATACATATATATACACACACACACTGAGGTAGAGTGTATAAATTGTGCTTTTCAGGCGCTAGTGTAAATAAGTAAGCATCCATAACCATAATGGGCATCTTGCGGTGGTTGATGTTGTGGTGGTGGTGAGAATGTGGTTGGTTGAGGTTGAATGTTCTCCATTCTCTGCATCAGCTTCTCAACCGTACTGTCAGTGCGGAGGATGCTGGAGATCAACCGTTCCTCCCGGGCCTCACTTCTTGCCATGTCCTCCTTCCATTGTCGAGTCATGACTTGCATCTGGTTTACCAGCACATGGACGTCTCTCACTGGCCTTGTTTGCTGGGTCCTCGTTCCTTTAAGAAACGGCAGCTATAAAGTCAGTCGTATCCCTACCGATTAGGCATGTGGTAGTAACCATCTCGACATCAGCTGTTTGTTAGACTACACAGGATGAGTGACAGCATGGCATGAAGATTCTTTGTGATGCCCATATGTTGATGCTGTTATAATATTGCAGAACTTACCAGGTAGATCATCGGTGATTGTAGCACGCAGTGGAGTAGAAGGTGGTGGAGAGCAGCTAGAGTCGACCTAACGGAGGAGGTAGCACGCAGTGGAGCAGAAGGTGGTGGAGAGCAGCTAGAGTCGACCTAACGGAGGAGGTAGCACGCAGTGGAGTAGAAGGTGGTGGAGTTGACGTAGGTGAGGAGGTTCCAGATGAGCCTCCGAGCAGCGTCTCTTCCGGGTCCATTGTAGTATCTATAAGATGGTACAGCACAAATAATAATAAAACGTTATTTATAGAGCACCTTTCATGCAAAAGAATGCAGCTCAAAGTGCTTTACAGCAAATACGTGCGTAATAACGTGCACAAAGAAATTACCTGCACATAAAAACGGACAAAGAAACATAAAAACTCAACTATAGTGCAAAAACAAATGTAGAAAGTACAGTTTATGTAATGTACACTTTATTACGTTTGTAACTTTCATTCTAAATTGAATTCCTTGCAGGTTAGTGGGAAGATCTACACGTTTCTCAAAGGCTAAGGGCTAGCTAGCAAGTGGCACCCACGTTAGCTTCGAAAGCTACGGTTATCAAGTGGGACCCGGGTTAGCCTTACGTTTTATCATTGTTACATTGTTTTCATCGTCGATTTAATTCCTTGCACGTTATGTGAAGGTACACATGTTTCAACACATATTAGCACTGCTAACACGTCTCACAAACAGCATCAGCTAGCATCTGGTACCTAGCACTTGTTTTAGTGTGATGCAACTGAAATGAACTTACCCATGGTAGTTGGCAACCGAACACCCGAATCTACGCTGTTGTGCTCTACTAGGGACACTTGTGTCGTCCATTGGGTTGTTTGTTTGTTTTCTGCCGGTGTGAGATGCTCGTAGTGGTGAAAAGATTCTGTAAACAATTGTCTTGTGCTAAAAGCCAGGTCGCAGTGGTTGACCCTGAGATGGAGGGAGATGGAAAGATTTAGGGTTTGCAGCTGTGTTTGGGGAAGGGGGTCATCTTGCTCTCACAGACCTTCGATCAGAGGAGCATTGGGTGTTACCCTCAGCTTCACCGGAGTTCTTATCTCAACTTGATTTGTGGCTTCTCGTAACTGCCGCTAAGAACTGTCTTCAAGTGTATAAAAACTCAGCGTTTTTACTGCTCGGAGACGCCATTACACAGAGCGCTGGAATACGTGCTGGTGTGTTGGACCTCCTGCTTGCAAGCAATAGTTAGAGACCGATATCTGCAGAGAATTGCTCATGTCATCTTTTTCTCTTCTAAATAAATGTAAACCTTTTGACTTTAATTGATCAACGTGCTGGATCCTTCTCATCAACCGACTCGGGGGATCGGAGATCCCGACAGAAGTGTTGAATGATGATAAACTGATAAATGAAGCGTTGAATGACGATAAACTGATGGATGAAGTGTTGAATGACAATAAACTGATGGATGAAGCGTTGAAAGACGATAAACTGAAGGGTGAAGCGTTGAATGACGATAAAGTGATGATAAACACTTCATCCACGGTTACCTAACCCTTCGAACACAGTTCAGTGCACTAACCCCTGGGTGCCAACAAATCGTGTTTGGCGCCCAGCGCCAAAGGTGGAGATGGGGACCTCCAGCCACAACGACGTGGACCTCAGCTGGATCCCTCAGGAGACCCTCAACCAGATCAGTAGGGCTCCTCTCTCTCCTTCTGTCTCTCCCTTTGTCTCCTTCTGTCTCTCTGCTTCTTCTGGAAGTTGATCCTCATGATGAATATTTGAAAGCATCTAAAAGGCTTCAGAGGTTTTGTAGAGAACATAAAGATATAAAGTGACATTCTTTTGTTGCTCGGACGCTTTCATCTCTGCTGCCGTTTTTCTCGCAGAATCAGCTGTTCTCTCCCTGTTTGACCTTTAACCTCCACTCTGCATGAGGGTCACTCACTGTTTCTCTCTCATGTTTCCCTGCGTCTCCAGTGCAGAGTCGCAGAGGTGAGGTGTGTGTGTGTGTGTGTGTGTGTTGCTTAAGAGATGAAATAACTAATGAACAACACGCAGCAAAACGTCTTCAGCCTCCGTTTAAACAGAATGAAACATCTTCATCACGGAGGTGACTTCTCTTCTTCTCTCCAGACAAAGCGTCTCCCAGAAGATCTCCTCGCAAGAGGAACCAGAAACGCTCAGCCGGCTCGGACGAGTGACGGTCGCCATGGCGACGGTCCACAGAGGACGGATGAAGACGGGACGAGTGGGGACTCGTTCCACTGAGAGACTTTAAACACACAGGGATCATGTGACTGGTTTTATCTGCTCGTTTCCTCTGTGGGAGACACAGCGTTGATGGATTCATTCCATCCAGAGGAAACGAGCTTCTGCTTTCATTTTGTTTTTTAAATGTGCAGGAAATAAAGTTTGATTTGATGTCGTCTTTGTTTGTTCTGATAAGTGTTTACGACACATTGATGTATAAACGTGTTATAACTTAATAGTTGAAGTAGGAAAACAAACTTTAAAATGCAGAAAAGAACTAAATAATCAAGTCACTTTTGAGACGATTGTTTCACTTTTATTAATTTCCTGCTGCAATAATAAGACTTTAATCATCAAGTATGTCAGCAAAGTAATACATGGAGGGACTAAATATACTGTTAGAAACAGAAGTACCTGATATTATCTCATTAAACATTTGAAGTAGAAATCTGCTAAAATAATTATTCATATTTTCCTTATTTGTCGTTTATCAAACGTCTACTTGAACATTGTGACACATAAAGATGAAGATTAAACATCTAAACGATAATTATTGATTCCATCTGCAACACCACAAGTCCCAGAGAGCTGTGGACCCCCCAGAGTCCAGACCAGCTCAGGTACCCCTCACCTGCTCCACCTGCATCTACACCCACATGAACCACCATCAGCTGCACAGACTGAACTATGTGGTGAGCAGAGAGGAAGGTTCTCCACCAGGAGGAGACTCTCCCTCCTGCAGAGAACACAGAGACACTGAGGAACCAAAACAGGAACCAAAACCATACCAGAGTCCAAACCCAGGATAAAGAGGTTCAGTGAATGTGGTGCTGAAGGTGTGGAGGTGGATCAGTGTGTCAGAGGAGACTCTGTAGAAGGACAGAGAGCCAGCAGGACAGTCCACATACACTGCTACTCTACCAGAGGAGGAGGAGGAGGAGGAGGGGAAGTGTGTTACTGTCTCATTGTGACAGACATCGTAACCTCCATCAGAGCAGATCAGACTCCAGGACTGATCATTCATTCCAAACACACAGCCTTCACTGTCTCCTTTCCTCCTGATTCCTCTGTAACTCACTGATACATAAACGTTTCCTCTCCACTCGACCTCCCAGTAACAGCGACCAGTCAGACCAGTTCTACACAGCAGCTGAGGCCAGGAGTCAAATCTGTCTGGATGATCAGGATACGACTGACCCTCCTTCACATGTGTCACCTTCCTGTTGTTGTCAGACAGTTTGAGGTGTTTGTTTACTGTGTTTGTGTCGATTGTGAGTTCACAGGAATCTGATGAGAGAACAAGACACAATACAGCTGCAGTTATTAATCATGTGTTCATCTACTGACACGTTGATGATGACGTCACAGAGGTGAATGAGTGATGTCACAGTGTGAAGATGGTTGAATCTTCATGAATCAAAGCTCACTTACACTTCCTCAGACCTGGTCTCAGCCATCGGACTCCATCAGGCTCCACCCTGAAAGGAGGAGGGGGGTCAGAGCAGCATGGAGACGTGGACATTACATCACACACAGCTTTGTCCTTCATGTCCACATGGACCACCTCTTCTTCTTGTGATTGGCCGATGACCACAGCTCATCACGTTCACTCATTCATCTATTATTATTATTATTGTCAGCATCATTCTGACCGTCAGCTTCTATTTCACACTCAGTTTCCTTCAGCAGTCAGTGAATAAATGTTTAAACCTCATCAGGTGGTTTCTTTGTCCACTTGTGGTTCAGTGACAACAAGCTGTGAACACAACATGTGACATGTGATCGTCTTCTACAGTAGTTCTGTAACATGAGATCAAGCAGCTGCTTCCACATCCAGCAGGTTCACGTCAACATGAAGGTTCCTCAGGAGTCTCTGTGTCACCTGATGGACCAAGTCCACTATTCTCTCTCTTCGGTCTCCAGCATCTCCTGAGGAGAACATCTTGTCCTTTCTCAACGTGTCATTTTGTCCTCGTGAGACGTCATCAGTCGCAGCCCGAGTCCTGTTCCAATTCTAAAGTCCACATCTGGCCGAGAACCGTCATAATACCCAGATGTGACTCGCCCCGCCCATTTGACCCAGAATGCATCAAAGCAGGCTCCTCTGGTCAAATATCCCAGAATGCATTTCACCTCAGCAACAGTGAACGATGCCAGAGGGTCACGGTTTATAAATACTACTAACGTTCTATTTAAGTCTAATCCACATTTCTGCGGTCGGTTTGTCGACATTCAGCCTCGGTATCGATTTGCTGGATGTGGGAGATGTGAGGTTTAGTTAACGGGACCATCAGACTCTTCTCAGCCGGTTCTCAGAGAGTCTTCTGTGAAATGACCCGCTGGTCTCCACGTCTCCGTACCGGTTACACCTGAGATACAACTAGAACCGCAGGGTTGGTGGTTCCAGTCCCGGCTGCTCCGTGTCCCATGTCAAAGTGTCCCTGAGCGAGACACCTGACGTTTGTTGGAGGACAGATTCATAACTTCATGTTTAAATTGAACTTGTCTGTCTCCATCATTGTGCATTAAAACTAACGATTCTTTAATTAAAGGACAAGCGGAGACGTCATCGAGACTCCAAACCGGCAGCAGGCTCCTGGTCCTCGTACCTGGTTAACTGAGTTAGCCGGATCATCTTCAGGATGAGATGATGTCGTTCAGGCTTTTCGCTTCCCTGAAGCAGGTTTGTCTAAATCACCACAGCAACACATGGAAACACTTGAAGCTGCTCCGGTTCATCTGAGCTGCTGGATCAGTTCATCACTCCTCATTGATGAAGGAGCGACATCAGTTAGATGAACGTTTTATAGGGAGAGACTTCTATGACATCACAGAGACCCGTTTAGCCGCCATGACGTCCTGTACGAGCGCTGCAGATGCTGAGGACCAGAATCATTTATTTACAAGAAGATTCCCCGTTACGTTACGTGATGAACACCACACGCTGCAGCCGGGCTGTGAAAGCGGAAACGTGAGACTCCGTAAAGGACGTAGTTAGCGGACCAATCGCAGCCTGGTGCGCTGCGGGAGGCGTCGCTTTAGACGCAAGGACGCAAGGGCGTCTTGCGTCTGCGTCGCTCTGAAAACGTAAGTAAGTCCCAAAACTATTTTGGGACTTACTTACGTTCCTCTGTCTTTTGCTGCAGCAGCGTGTTGCTTTTCTGTCTAATTACGGGTTCATACTCGTTGGCTTGCATTAATATGTGCAGCTCAATAGGGCTGAGTATGTTGTTTGTGGTGGTTGTCATGGTAACTCGTAGCATCATGGATCCATTCATGCTGCCTTCATACTGTGATGCTGCACGCGCTCAACTCTGAGTCAACCTACTCGACTTGATTGAACCAACAGCTGTTCTGAACCCAGAAACTCAGAGTTTAGTTTGTTAAACCTCCTACTTGAAACGGACACCAGGTCCACCATCAGCTGTTGGTTCTTCACTGAGCGTCTGTGGCCGACTGTCACCTGTAGCTTCAACAAGTCCACTCTGATCATCCAGGGAACCGTCTCTCAGTGCAAAGCACCAAAACCAGGAGAAGCTGAACTCCTTTAAAACACCAAACGTTCCTCCTGTGATGATCCATCAAGACGCTTTGAACTGTTTCTACTGTTTGTCTCTTAATAGTAATGTCTGGACTAAAGGACAAACACACACTGGAGGCAGATGACGAGCTGCACAGTGTTGTTTGATAAGAGCCCACAAACCTGCAGCGTGACCACGTTGACTCGTATCAACCCACCATGATGGCGTCAGCGTGTCAGGAGACACTGTCCTCTCTTATAACAACAAGCCTTTCATCACCTTCCTCCCTGTTCAGGCTCATCCTGGCTACTGATCCTCACTACTTCTGTCTGTGTTGATGGTCTCATGTGGGACACAAACAGTTGGATGAGTCTCTGGTGGTTTGAGGTCAGCTTGGTGTGTCAGGGTCTTATTAAGCAGGCTGACAGTGGGACAGAGAAAAGGTTTCCAGCTCCTCTACCAGACTGATGGTCTGTGGCTGCAGCCTCTTCATACCTGAGAGTCTCCAGTCTCCAGTGAGGATCCTCCAGTCCAGCAGACAGCAGCTTCACTCCTGAGTCTCCTGGATGATTGTAGCTCAGGTCCAGCTCTCTCAGGTGGGAGGGGTTGGAGCTCAGAGCCGAGGCCAGAGAAGAACAGCCTTCCTCTGTGATCAGACAGCCTGACAGCCTGCAGACACACAACACAACACACGTCACATGATCTGAGGGGCTGGAGGGGCACTGCAGGACTGAGATACTATCTGAGGGGTCACATTAACATGGTTACTGACTGGTTTCCAGTCACAACTAAAGACCCATGTCAACAATCTGATCATGTGTATAGGGCTGTCATAAATATCACATTTTTGTTGTGCGATTAACATTTATCGTGATATTATTGCCATTTTATGCCACTGATAACATAATGACAATAGCATAGTAAGAAAAGTACAGTATTTCAAAGAATGTCTTATTTGTCAGAATAGTTAGACATTAGAATCTGAAAAACTACATTTTATATAAATAAAACAAAAAAAACAATAAGTGCAAGGGATGAAGTATCGGGCTTTTTGCGATTCGGTCGGGTTCGAGAAAATGTGTCCAGCGGAAAGGCACCGCGGCAGCCGGGGGTTTTAACACGGGGCTTCGACCACCGGCAGGGCGACGCGCTCCGCGGCTGCAAGAAGAGACTGAGCGACCCGCCCAAAGAGCAGTCCAGAGGAACCGACAGTAGTTCAGGTTAAAGACGGCCGGATGGTTGTTGTTTGTGTGAGAGCTTAGCTTAGTTGGGTTCACTGCTTCTCTTCACCTGTCGGTGTCGCTCTGTGTGCGTGCTGCATAAGCCCCGCCCCCTTTCCACAAGGAAAAGGGACAGAGGATCAACTTAAATGTTGGGGACGTTCATTTAGATGTAAA